TAGGGTAAAGTGGGGTGAGGTAGGCATGGGGTAGGAAATGAAGAGAGGACACAGACGCTCTCTGTAAACCACAAGTTAGAGCCCATCTTCCTCTGCTGAGGTGGAGTTGCCCTCTCTCCCTCTAGAGGTTTCTCAATCATGACACCAGGAAAGCTGTGAAGACACCATATGCCCCCCCACCCCCCACTGTGTGAGGAATGAGTTAAAGGGACGTGCAACCTCTGTTCTAGGAAATGAGGTTTGGGATGCCTAGAGTTCTAGGTTCCTCCACATCTGATCCCTAAAGACCTCTGTCAGGAGGACAAAGAAGTAGTTTATTAATTCCTTTTTATAGGTGGGGTTCCTGAGGCTTGGTCAGCTGACATGCCTACAGCCACAGGATTAGTGACCAAGACCGGACTTGGACCAAGCCCTTCAGATGCCAAGACCTCTAAATGGACTTTCCCTTACAACCTTTATTGCCTCAAGTCCCGTTCCATAGGCAAGTATGGTTAGTGGATCATTTTTGCAGTGATGCGCAAGCCTAGATAAATGTTAAAATCACTTGGGGAGATTAGGAAAACACCTGTTGTGTGGGCCCTCCTCTGTATCTGTTAAGTGAGAGTCTGTGGTCCTGGACTATGGTACCATTCTCTTTTAGAAGCCCCTGCAGTAATTCAAATATGAGGCAAGGTTGTGAACCATGGATCTAATGGGTAGCTAGTTAGCTAAATGGAGTCTGGCCTGGCCTGGGGAAGTTCTGCAGCTGTATAGAGCTCTTTGGGTTCTGAAGGACAGACACCTAATGCAGCTAACTTGGCCTGGTCATTTGCAGGGGGATTCATTAGAAGGCTTACGTTGTCAAGGAGCATGTAGAGGATATAATGGGATCCCAAGGACAATTGTATGTGGGAGTAGAGAGTTGCCTGATCTCACCTGACCTATGTCCACATCCTTCATGCCATGATCTTTCTGTAAGGCCATTTCTTTCCCTCCTCAGACTGTTCTCTGCCATAGTCCAAGGGACCTGGTCACCGATGCCTCTACACATCTCCACTGTTGGAGAAGATCTGAGACTTCATTCTTCATCCCATTCTTGGGCAGATGCCCACTCCAGGCCAGTCACTTTGGTCACATGGTTGTGCCATTAAGATTCTGGCAATCCTCTTCCAAACCACATGGCTAGAATGGGGCAGGCGTTATTTTCCATAAGAAGGAGCAGGTAGTGTTCTAGAAAGACATAAAACAGAGGTTTCCTAGCCATCATCTGTGACCTTCATATAGGATTCCTGCGGCAGGAACACTCACTTGCAGGGAAATCCCTCAGGGATTGCCTTGAAAGTCTTGCCGGTCTGGAATCTGCCACTGCCAAGAAGCAAAAATCAATAGCTTTGAAAGCAGGATAATCTGGACCTGATCATTCCCTGAATGCTGAGCAATAGGACCTATAACGCAGAGGAGATAGGTACTGAGGCCACGTAGACACCATTCCTGACCTCCAGTCCACCAAAGACTCACAACCTTGGATTTGGACAGGATTCTAGTTTAGTTAAGAATCTTTGGGTTGCAAGTGACCGAAAACCAACTCAAACCTATTTACCCACCTGAGGGAAGGAATCTCTTGGCTCACATGACTGAAAAACGCAAGCTATTTTCTCTCGTGGGTGTCTGGATTCAGAACTGAGACAATGTCCTGAAGACAGTCTCACCCTCTCCCTCTCTCAGCTCTGCTCTCCTCTCTGGGTTCTCCTCAGGCAAGTTCTCTCCTCACAGAAGCAATATGGCCACCAGTGCCTCAGCTACCCCTGTGGAAAGTCCACTATCTTTTTTTTCCCCAATAGAATAAACTAAAACTCCAGGATTGAGTATTATTAGAATAATATATGTCCCAGAACTAAGCCTACATCTGTGGTCAGAGGATGAACACGTGCACACTGAGGGCAGGGAATGTGGGGGTGGGAATGAGTGCCAGAACAGGACAATAGATATCCTTTAAAGACACCAGGGCTCATCCAGGCTGACAGGCTTCCATCCACCTGCTCACATACGATATTCTGTGAAACCTCCCCTGACCAATAGCCTGACCTTGTCCATCTCCTTGTCCATCTCTCATTTGGTACACAGGAAATACTTAAACACCCCTCCTGTTGGCAACCTGCTGAGAGACTGGGTATGAATTAGTTATCTTGGCACCCTAGCACTGGGCTATGACAGAAAACTGTAAGTTTCATTGAATCACAGGACTCCTAGGAGCCATCAAGTGGGGTAGAAAATGGACCTTGGAGGGGGGGAAGCAGAATTCTGAGGCGGGGCCCAGTTCTGAAGCTGGCACCAGAACAGGTCTGTTTCTGATTCACTATGCCCCTCAGACAAATCCCCTTCTCAAATCCGTACTTTGTCCACATGACCTGCCTACCTACCTGTTAGGATGACTCAGATGTTTGTGTTCAAACAAGTGGGAGCAACTTACAACTGTCAAGTAGTACCATTATGCTTCTTGCCCATAGAAAATCTAAGGTCCAATTTCAGAAAGTACGGTATTATGAAAAACAATTCAAAGGTGGAAAAAAACATGCAATGATGGGACTGCCAAACAGAAAAGGAAAAGTCTAGAGAAGAATGATTTTAATATGAAATATGTGCTTTGAAGAAAACTACAGAATGGGGGATGTAGGAGAGCAGAAACAGAAGCCAGAAGTCCACAGAGCAAAACCAGAGAGCACAGCCATGCTGGAAGGGAAACCCGGGCACAAGCGAGTGCTGAGGTTTAAGCTGGAGCGGTCTCTGGATGTCATCTTTCCAGGCCTGGCCACAGAGGGAGGCTTGCTTTTGAAGGCCCTGGCCCTTCTCAGGCCTTCTACTCCCTTTCCAGTCTTCAAAATGAGGGCCAAAGAGGCAGCGGAGACTCGCAGGCAACCAGACTACAACCAGATCCAATCCTGTCTGCTGACACCAGTGCTGCTCCCTTCCCTGATACCAAAGGCTGTCTGGCTTTCCTCACTGTCATCTTGGGCTGTAAGTAACCCACTTAAATCACCACCGGACAGGGAGAAGCTCACAGCCTGCTTTGCAGCTCTTCTTCCATCCAAGCCATTAGTATGTTTAATAGCTCTGGCCCCATGCTGATTTCTGACATGTGGTAATTAATTCCTTTCCACTCGGAGATACAGCCATTCACAGGTCTCAATTCAAAAATGTCTCTACTCTGTTCCTTTTGAAAAACACTCAGAATGTTGAGTTGGAAAACCATTTGGCCTTTTGTGAGAAATCACTGGTCTCTAGTCCATCCTTACATGAAAATAAATTCTGGATATATTAAAGATTTACATGCAATACATGAAAATACATAAATAAGGTGAATATATGATTTAGAGTGGGAAAGGTCTTTCTAAACAAGCAGCTAGAGGCAGAAACCATGAAGAGCAAGGTTCATGAGTTTTTTTCACTTCAAAACCTTAAACCTCGGGCGCCTGGGTGGCTCAGTGGGTTAAGCCGCTGCCTTCGGCTCAGGTCATGATCTCAGGGTCCTGGGATCGAGTCCCGCATCGGGCTCTCTGCTCAGCAGGGAGCCTGCTTCCCTTCCTCTCTCTCTGCCTGCCTCTCTGCCTACTTGTGATCTCTGTCTGTCAAATAAATAAATAAAATCTTTAAAAAAACAAACAAACAAACAAACAAAAAACCTTAAACCTCTGTGTAGCCTAAATTAATAAAGTACAGTTGAATGAAATGAAAAGAAAATGACAAATTTGGGGAAATCATCTGCAGTGTACAATGATGTTACCTATAAAGATGATGAAGATATTGCTAATATTTATTTCTATGTGCCAGTGTTTTAGTACATGCAGAATCCTAACAGTTTAATTCACAAAAGAATCAAATAGTAGAGAAACATAAGAGAAATCTTAAAATCTTAAAATCTTAAAATTCTTATTTATAATCAGATTAAAGCAGCAATAATAGGCTACTTATGACATTAACCAGATGATAAAAACAATAATACCCAAATGTTAAGGTTCAGGGAAATGTTCATTTTCACACGTTGTTGTTTTGAGTCTAAATTAGTACAAACTTTCTGAAGGGAAAATTTGTCAGGATCAGAAGTCTGAATCCATTTCCAGATGAAGGAATCTATCTTGCAGTAATAATTAAGAATATGCACAAAGATATAGCTACAAGATGCTATTTTAATAGTGAAGACTGGAGTGTCCAACAGTGAAAGATTTGCTAAATAAGTTATTGTACATCCATACTTCACAAACATTAAAAATTATGTTATAGGTATATATTTACTAAAATGGACTTTCAGTATTTATTTTTAGTAAATTTAAAAAGATTATAAAACTGTAAGCTCAGCATACAAAATCTCATTTTTTGCAAAAAATCATATAAAAAAATTTAAGGAAATATACCAAATATTTACAGTGGTAAAGTTATCTCTGTGTAGTAAAATTCAAGGGTATTTCAATTTGCTTCTTTTGTTCAGAGGTCTTTTCTAATTTTCCTATAATGAATGAAAATTATTATAAATTTATTATATAAAATTTTATTATATTTTATTATATTATAAAAATATATTATATTTTTATAATATAATAATAATATAATATAATAATATTATATAATATATATTATATATTATATATAATATATAATATAATATAATAATATAAAATATATTATATATTATAAAAATTTTATTATATTATAAAAAAACAAAAAATATTATAAAAAACAAAAATGCTTATTCTGCACAAGAGGTGGGAGGATTAAATAGTATAATGGAAAATGGTTTAGGTGAGTGATAACTATGATTTCCAAAGAGAGAGCCCCAAGAAGATGGTCAGGGAATTTGGGGAGAATGAATCAAAGGAAAAGTGGAACTTGAATATGCTCATGACATGCACAGAAATTAAGGTGTAGGGGTTCTGAAGGGTGAGGGCAGACAGAAAGTATGGACACAAGCCTCCCTTTTGGAGAGTTTGATGGTACAACTAGGGGAAGGGGAAAACAGAACCAAGAAGTCTGGAAGGTCCAAAGAAGGACCCCAGTATTTTCTCTTTACAGTTTGAAGATTATGAAGCTCTGACAATGTTTGAAAGTGGAGAAATCTTGTCAGACTCATGAAGAAATGTGCAAATAGTCAGTCTGGATCATAGTTCATAAACTTCTCCTGGATCCATGGCACCTGATCCATGTGTCCCCCAGATAGGCTCCCTCTGTTTCGTCTGGGGTTTCTGCTGATGATCCTTAATTGTCTGCAAGAATTATACAGCTGTGATGCTATTTACTCCAATGAATGATCTAGCAACCTTCCATAGGATTCTCAAGCCTAGACCAGAGATATTGAGCTAGAAAGGATTCCATGGGCCCTAGCCGGTTGGAGGGTGTTCCATTCAAAGGAAAACATCTTACAGCATCTATACTAGAAGGAAGTGAGGATGACCAGGCTAATCCTTAGAGAGTAATGGCCTTCCCTTTTCAATGATCTTGATAACCAGGCTTGCTCACACACCTTCAATGACTGGTTATCCATTCTACCCTATACCAGTCATCCACAAATGGATGAGTTCCAGGAAACATGCTAAACACTTACATCTAGAAGTTCTATCATTCTTTGCAAATCTGCTACAAACTCTTTATAGTTTCCTATTCACTGAAGTCATCTTCAAGTTTTAAAAAAATTTTTATGATCACTTTTGCATGTAGCTGTTGTGAATATAAATTATTGTGAATAAAATATTGTGAATATAAATGATTATTTTGTAGACTACATCTGATAATTCTACCATGTTAAGTCTCTGTAGTTCTGTTTCTATTGCCTGTTGTTTCTGCTGGTTCTCCTTTATTCAGCCTAATTTTCTTTTGTGACATAGTATCTTTGACTATTTACTGGATATTGTATTAGAAAAACTATTTTCAGGAATAATTTGAGGTCTACGATGAAAGTACATTTCCTCTGAGAGGATTTGGGTTGGCTTCTACCAAGAATCTTGTTCAAGTATAGATTCTGATACAGTTGGTCTTGGATGAGGCCCAAGAATTTGCATTTCTAATAAGCCCCCTGCTACTGCTGATGTTGTGGCCTTATGGATCACATTTTGAGTAGCAAGAGACTAACAAGGGACCCAGAGGATTGGAGCCAGGCTGTAATTCTATGGGAGCTATGTCACTTGTTTACTCTCATCCTGGCAGTGAAGCCTTTGGGGTCCCAGCTTGTTGTGGGAAGGGTCTCCTAGGAGATGCCTCACTGTGTGTGGCCTGAGCTCTGATTTGTGTCCCTCTCACCTCTTAGACTGCCAGAACAAAGCTTTAATTTTGAGGGATCAGCAAGTGTGTTCAGATCAAAAGCAGTTTCTGTGCTTGCTTATCTCACTAGGTTCTCATTTCGCCTTTATTTCTAATCCAGTAATTCCTTGTTTTCTTGTCATCTCTCTGGTGCTTTTAAGATTTTTTTTTTAATCTATATTTTTAGTAGCTTTCAGTGGGAGGATTAGTTAAATAACCTACTCGGCTGTTCCTAGAAACAAGAAGGTCTACGCCAAGCTCTCATGAACTCTTTAATACTGTCAAAATAATAATGTCCCGAGAACATCCTAGCATTATCTTTTTCATCAAGTAAGTCTTTGTATGTGTCTATGATTGTTTGTTTAGAATAAATTTGTAAAGTTCTCTCCTGTCATTTGTACTCATCCTTCCTTTAAGGCTCTGCTGGGTCTCCTCACTCAGCAGGCCTTCCCTTGCTGTTTTGGCTTACCTGGGTACTCCTCTTTGGACAGCTCTCTTGCCAGTGTGTCCCATGATTTCAGGATGGGGCAGCTAAAGGAAACATAAAGATCCTGTCCTCATTCCACACCTGGAGATTAAAGCCCAGAGAAGGAAAACAACTTGCTGAAGGTACCACAAAGAATTATGGCTGCACTTGAGACTAGGACCAAAATCCTCATCACCCAGCCTGGCAGTGTCCCACAATCATATGCAAGTCCTTCGTTATGTTGAGCCAAGCTTGCCTCTCAGCAACTTCCATGTAGTAATTAATCAAGAAATGGCAAGATGTGTGTCTTCTAAATCTGGGAAAAACACCAAAAGAACTTGGTACATTTTTATGTAATTTATATCTGCCCAGTTCTGAGGAGAAAGGTCTCCATCCTCAAGCAGCTGACAGGGAAGAAAGAAGTCAGAAGACACTACTGGAGAAAGTAACCATTCACAGGGTTTGATTTTATACTGTCCCCTTTTATTTAATTTCTATCTGTGAGATCTCTGAAATCTAAGGAGCCCTGAAACACCACAGAATACACCCACTGTCCTCCTGGAAGAATTCCAGTAAAAACAGCTTCTAATTAAATAAACGAGCTCTGCCATGTTCGCTTCAGATAGCAGAATAAGGCTTCCAATGACAAGCTCATTTGACTGCAGTCAGTTTATTACTTGTTAAATAATCATTGACTTGCTGTTCCTATCCATCTTATAACCTTTTTGTAACTGAACACAGAAGAATATAACATAAACAAACAAACAAATAAACAAACTAATTATGATAAGGAAAAAAAAGTGCAATGCTTAGGGAAACTTGAATATCTATAATGAAATCCATTAAGAAAGGAAGCAAAATGAGTAATTCAGGAACTAGGTAGTAACTCATTCAATCTAATTTCTTAAACTCCTAAACTCCTGGACCCAAAATACTTCCCTGACCATATGTCCTCCTGAGTAGCACCCCACACAAACACACAGAGACACACATGTGGATACAAACACAGACACACACATAGATACATACACAGGCACATAGATGGATACAAATAAAGACACAGATACACACACAGACACACACATGGACACACACAGACAAATACACACACCCACATACACCTAATGCCCAAGTGCCATTGTCTTTTCAGTGGTCCCCAAACATGCAAACCTTCCCATGCCCCTGTGCCTCACTTAGAGTGTGCAGCGCTCTGGGGTTGTAACACCACATGCTGTTTTCCCACCCATCTAAGTCCATCTTCAGGACCTGATGACAACTTCCCTGAAGATTTCTCAGGGATGAAGTTCCTGATTTGTGGGAATCATCCTTCAGAGAGGCCATGGAGATCCAATCTCTCTGGAAGGGATTCTGGCTCCTAAAGTGTGACCAAAAAGTCACATGGACCCTCCCCTTATACTTACACTTTTTGCTAGTATAAGTATATTGCATGGGACATACTTATTCTAAGAAATTATTTATTGTTTATCTGAAATTCAAATTCAACTGAGTGTCCTGTGTTTTATTTGGCAACCCTACCCAGGTGGCAAGGCAAGCCTATAGCAGTAAGGACACTTGCAGTCTCTGCTTGCTGCGCAAGGCATAACCAGAGCTATGTGCAACTGGCAGGACAATGCCTCACCCCCTACATTGATCCCTGCTGTTGAATAGAGCAGGTAAGTTTGCACTATCCACAAGCTTGAGTCTCTTCAAACGTGTGTGTGTGACTTTTCAAACTCATGTAAAAACAACCAAAATAGGGGTGCCTGGGTGGCTTGGTCAGTTGAGTGGCTGACTCCTGGTTTCTGCTCTGGTCATGATCTTGGGATTCTGGGATGGAGCCCTGTGTTGGGCTCCACACTCATCAGGGAGTCTCCTTGTGGATTCTTTCTCTCCTTCTCCCTCTGTCCCTCACCCAGCGCGCGCTCCCTCTCTCTCTCTCTCTAATAAATAAGTAAATACATCTTTAAAAAATAGCCAAAATAATAACAGTAATAGTAATAATGATCGTTATATTGCCAGGTACTCTTCTAAGTGTTTTACAAATACTAACGCTTAACCCTCCTAACAACCTAATGAGGTAGGCACCATTATTATTGGTATTATACAACTTAAGAAACTAGAGCAAAGGGCATTTAGTAATTTGCCCAGGGGACAGTACGTGGCTATAGTTGGTAAGTGGCCAAGCTGGGACTGCATCCCAACAGCCTGGCTCCAAAGTCTGCCTTCTCAACCACTCTTCTCTACTGCATGTTTAATGGCCATCACTCACGCATTACTCATAGCCTCTTAAAACTGATTACAATGTACCAGTGTGCTATGACCTTGCACTTGTGAACAATGGCCTACAGAGTCAATTCCTAATTTTTTACCTGGGAGTCATGACTTCTCCTAAGCTGATGCAGATTCCCTTTACAGACCCAACTCCTGATGTCTCCCTTCTCTGTGTGTTTCAGTCAACCTCCCCATGGGAGGAGAAGCTATGTCTATCTGACTCTAGCGCCTCATGAGGGTCTCTGGAAGAGATGAGTAGACACTCCAAAAGTGTGCCTTTCATTCCTTTTTTGGCACACACTCTTTGTGACGCATTTCAATGACTTCCTTTTCTCTACCATTCTTTGTTCTCCTTCCCATTCTTTAAGATCTAACTCAAATGTCACCTCCTCTGGGAAGGTTCCCCTGATTTTCCCTGACCACGTTAGTGCTCCCCACTTCTTCTGTGTTCCCTCAGTACTTGGGTGGTGGCTCACATCCTGATGTCTGGATTCCCTAATCAGATATTCTTCTGATCTCTCCACTCCATCTCAGTGATATGTTTCCCTGGAACAGAGGTTCTCCACATTGACTGCAGCTCAGAATCAGACAGGAAGCTTTGTAATATACAAGTGTCTGGTGTCGGCTCCCAAAAATTCTGATTTGGCAAGTTGCATATAAGACTCACACATCAATGTTTTTAAAAAAATAATAATCCACAGATGGTTCTGAGCTGCAGGGATGAACCACGTTCAAAGCCATAGTTCTGACCAGCAAGTGACACTCTGGTGACACTCTGCTGAAGCCAAGCTGTGTCCTTGGTACTCAATGAACACTCTCCTCATCATTGGCCATGCCTTTTAGGTTCTGGGGATGGGTATGACTGAGTCTGGAAAGGTTAGGGAGGGTCTTTAAGGTCTGTCCCAATCCAACATTATATCATTCTGATCACATTTTCTGACATAAGATTCAATTTCATGCACCCAAAACAGTGTTCCCCTATACAGCTATATCAGGAAAAAGGAAGGGTGCCCATTTCAGAGATCAACAGAACTTGTTTAGAGGAGAAAGGCTTTAGAATTAACCAGTATCATCCCTGGTGGGGAAACTGGAGCTCAGAAAAGTGAAGGAAGCTGCCCAAATTTCCTTGTTTTCCTGCCCCCATCCCACACATGCTCTCACATCCTTTGTCAACCTCATCCAAGGCCAAGTCCCTGTAGGTGGATATTTGCAAGTGAAAAGAAAATGGTCTCAACCCATGCCCCCGCTCTATATCCAAGTGAAGAAGCTACACTCTGGTCACCCAGCCAAAATATAATTTTAAATGGAATCTAGTCTCCTAAAAGACACACACACACACACACACACACCTCTCATCATACAATTATACAAAACTCTCTACCGCAATATTATTCAAAGCAGTGTAAAGCAGCTGCATTTAAAAAAAACAAAAACAAAACAAATTGAAATTGAATTCTGAGGCATAATCCAAGAGATAAAAATCAAAAAAAGCCAATATGTGATGATTGAGTATGCACGACCACAACCCTTAATCTCTGCCGTCCTCTGCAGGGTAAACAAATCTGCTGATTGTTGATGATATTGCTGAAAACATCACTAATCAAACCTTAAATACCAAATACATTTAAGCAAATAACACTCCAGTAACAGTCATTCTAGCTGATCGTGAAGGAAATTAAAATCAGAGGCCAGTTTGAAAATGGCCAGGGCGAGACTGTAGCTTCGCATTAATTGACCAACATCCTAGAGGCAGTGCTTTCTCTTAAGTACAGAAGGCCTGAGACACAAAAGGAAATAAGGAAGAAGTCCAGGAGGCAAGCGCTAATGCAATTTCAAGCTGGAATTACATCAGCAGCTTTAAACAGATGGCAGAATGGGAATAAATGTGTTAGCTCCTTTCTCTTACTTGGGCTTTCATTGTTTATATCATTAAAAATAAGGAGAGTTTAAAATAACATATATCGTCATGTAGCGACTCACAGAGACATACAAAACTAGTTTGAAGAGAAGGCTGAATTTGGTCATACTCCTGGTTGTTTTGAAAACAACTGGGTGAATTCAATTAAGTAACCAGCTGTCTGTTTACAAAGGAGAAGAAAACCTTGTAGAGGCACATTGATTATGACTGAACTGGTCATAGAAAACTCTGGATAATCCAAAGACAGGTCTTGGAACATTTCTCCTGTGTGTGAGAAGGCGACGGCGGGTTATGGCATCTTATATGCCTAAAGTTGAAGAGACCTAATAGATGGTCTAGTCCAGGGATAGCAAAAAAAAAAAAAAAAAAAAAAAAAAAAATGCAGGAGTGTCACTATACATCTGCTATTTCTGCTATTCCCAGACCTCAGCAGACATTACTAGCCGATCGTGGCATCATTCCTGACGCCTGAAGGTTAGTCTCAGAATTCTTGAGATGCCCGAGCAGTTTCCTCATGACAGACTGGTTGTATGGAAGCCTGTTTCCCATCTCTGATCTTGTTCACCTCACTCATTTTACAGATCAAGAAACCGAGGCCCAATGAGAATGAAGTGACCAGTAATATTGATTATAATGTTTTGCTCTATAAATCAAATGCTCCTTAAATACTTAGGTATTTGTGTGCATGACCTATATGCCTGGCACCGTGTTAAGCACCTTACCTGAGTCATCTCACTTCACCTTGCAACAATCCTATAGAGGCAGTTTTTGTTTCTATTTTAAAAATGAACAATCAGAGAGGTCCAACCCTGCTCTTCTCGTCAGGATGGTAGAGTAAGCACGCTTAAAACCCTTCTCTTCCTTGGATACATAGGAATGTTAACAAAATATTTAAAATGCGTAAAATACACTG